CAGAGATCCATAGAGGCACACAGAGATCCATAGAGTTACACAGAGATCCATAGAGTTACACAGAGATCCATAGAGTCACACAGAGATCCATAGAGTCACACAGAGATCCATAGAGTTACACAGAGATCCATAGAGTTACACAGAGATCCATAGAGTCACACAGAGATCCAGAGAGTCACACAGAGATCCATAGAGTTACACAGAGATCCATAGAGTTACACAGAGATCCATAGAGTCACACAGAGATCCATAGAGTTACACAGAGATCCATAGAGTTACACAGAGATCCATAGAGTCACACAGAGATCCATAGAGTTACACAGAGATCCATAATCACACAGAGATCCATAGAGTTACACAGAGATCCATAGAGTTACACAGAGATCCATAGAGTTACACAGAGATCCATAATCACACAGAGATCCATAGAGTCACACAGAGATCCATAGAGTCACACAGAGATCCATAGAGTCACACAGAGATCCATAGAGTTACACAGAGATCCATAGAGTTACACAGAGATCCATAGAGTTACACAGAGATCCATAGAGTCACACAGAGATCCATAGAGTCACACAGAGATCCCTAGAGTCACACAGAGATCCATAGAGTTGCACAGAGATCCATAGAGTTACACAGAGATCCATAGAGTTACACAGAGATCCATAGAGTCACACAGAGATCCATAGAGTTACACAGAGATCCATAGAGTTACACAGAGATCCATAGAGTCACACAGAGATCCATAGAGTCACACAGAGATCCATAGAGTTACACAGAGATCCATAGAGTTACACAGAGATCCATAGAGTTACACAGAGATCCATAGAGTCACACAGAGATCCATAGAGTTACACAGAGATCCATAGAGTTACACAGAGATCCATAGAGTTACACAGAGATCCATAGAGTCACACAGAGATCCATAGAGTTACACAGAGATCCATAGAGTTACACAGAGATCCATAGAGTTACACAGAGATCCATAGAGTTACACAGAGATCCATAGAGTCACACAGAGATCCATAGAGTCACACAGAGATCCATAGAGTTACACAGATCCATAGAGTCACACAGATCCATAGAGTCACACAGAGATCCATAGAGTCACACAGAGATCCATAGAGTTACACAGAGATCCATAGAGTTACACAGAGATCCATAGAGTTACACAGAGATCCATATAGTCACACAGAGATCCATAGAGTCACACAGAGAACCATAGAGTTACACAGAGATCCATAGAGTTACACAGAGATCCATAGAGTTACAGAGATCCATAGAGTCACACAGAGATGCATATAGTTACACAGAGAACCAAAGAGTTACACAGCGATCCATAAAGTCACACAGAGATCCATAGAGTCACACAGAGATCCATAGAGTCACACAGAGATCCATAGAGTTACACAGAGATCCATAGAGTTACACAGAGATCCATAGAGGCACACAGAGATCCATAGAGTCACACAGAGATCCATAGAGTCACACAGAGATCCATAGAGTCACACAGAGATCCATAGAGTCACACAGATATCCATAGAGTTACACGGAGATCCATAGAGTTACACAGAGATCCATAGAGGCACACAGAGATCCATAGAGTTACACAGAGATCCATAATCACACAGATATCCATAGAGTTACACAGAGATCCATAGAGTCACACAGAGATCCATAGAGTTACAGAGAGATCCATAGAGTCACACAGAGATCCATAGAGTTACACAGAGATCCATAGAGTCACACAGAGATCCATAGGGTTACACAGAGATCCATATAGTTACACAGAGATCCATAGAGTCACACAGAGAACCATAGAGTTACACAGAGATCCATAGAGTTACACAGAGATCCATAGAGTTACAGAGATCCATAGAGTCACACAGAGATGCATATAGTTACACAGAGAACCAAAGAGTTACACAGAGATCCATAGAGTCACACAGAGATCCATAGAGTCACACAGAGATCCATAGAGTCACACAGAGATCCATAGAGTCACACAGAGATCCATAGAGTTACACAGAGATCCATAGAGTCACACAGAGATCCATAGAGTCACACAGAGATCCATAGAGTTACACAGATCCATAGAGTTACACAGAGATCCATAGAGTTACACAGAGATCCATAGAGTTACACAGAGATCCATAGAGCTACACGGAGATCCATAGAGTTACACGGAGATCCATAGAGTTACACAGAGATCCATAGAGTTACACGGAGATCCATAGAGTTACACAGAGATCCATAGAGTTACAGAGATCCATAGAGTCACACAGAGATGCATATAGTTACACAGAGAACCAAAGAGTTACACAGAGATCCATAGAGTCACACAGAGATCCATAGAGTCACACAGAGATCCATAGAGTCACACAGAGATCCATAATCACACAGATATCCATAGAGTTACACAGAGATCCATAGAGTCACACAGAGATCCATAGAGTTACAGAGAGATCCATAGAGTCACACAGAGATCCATAGAGTTACACAGAGATCCATAGAGTCACACAGAGATCCATAGAGTTACACAGAGATCCATATAGTTACACAGAGATCCATAGAGTCACACAGAGAACCATAGAGTTACACAGAGATCCATAGAGTTACACAGAGATCCATAGAGTTACAGAGATCCATAGAGTCACACAGAGATGCATATAGTTACACAGAGAACCAAAGAGTTACACAGAGATCCATAGAGTCACACAGAGATCCATAGAGTCACACAGAGATCCATAGAGTCACACAGAGATCCATAGAGTCACACAGAGATCCATAGAGTTACACAGAGATCCATAGAGTCACACAGAGATCCATAGAGTCACACAGAGATCCATAGAGTTACACAGATCCATAGAGTTACACAGAGATCCATAGAGTTACACAGAGATCCATAGAGTTACACAGAGATCCATAGAGCTACACGGAGATCCATAGAGTTACACGGAGATCCATAGAGTTACACAGAGATCCATAGAGTTACACGGAGATCCATAGAGTTACACAGAGATCCAGAGAGTTACAGAGATCCATAGAGTCACACAGAGATGCATATAGTTACACAGAGAACCAAAGAGTTACACAGAGATCCATAGAGTCACACAGAGATCTATAGAGTCACACAGAGATCCATAGAGTCACACAGAGATCCATAGAGTTACACAGATCCATAGAGTTACACAGAGATCCATAGAGTTACACAGAGATCCATAGAGTTACACAGAGATCCATAAGAGTTACACACATAGAAACACACACAGACACACACAGACACACACACAGACACACACACAGACACACACACAGACAAACACACACACAGACACATACAGACAGACACACACACACAGACACACACACACACAGACACACACAGACAGACACACAGACACACACACACACACACAAACACACAGACACACACACACACAGACACATAGACAGACATACAGACACACAGACACACACACACAGACACAAAGACACACACACAGACACACACACACAGACAGACACACACACAGAGACAGACACACACACACAGTCACACACACACACAGACACAGACACACACACAGACACACACACACACACAGACACACAGACACACACACAACAACAACAACCGCCATTCGCCACTAAGTGGTGGTGACGTCACCACGACGCTTGTGCCAGGCTATGTGCACCCTGAGGCCACGTGAAGTGTCGAACGCCCCTGGCAGGAGGTCACGGGGCAGACCCAGGTGCCACGGGTCGACTGACTGAGATGACTGGCTGATGCACCACCTGTGCCCCCTACTGTGCCAACCTGCTGTGCTTTAGCCACCCGGCGCTCCGCTCGTTGTTGTGAGCGTCGCTCCTCCGCCCTCCGTTGTTGTTGGAGGGCGACTGCCTCCAACTGCCCAGTAGCATCCTTCACGAGCCTCCTCCACAGAGGCCGATCTTGACACCGCTGGTACCGGTCATCGGCAAGTCCACTCAGCTCCACGTCCTCCTGTACCACATCACTCCATCTCTTCTCTAGCCCGTGCCGCGCCTGCTTTGCCCCCTCAATCCGGCCAAACAAAAGCTGTTTCGGCATGCGGTGGCTGGGCATGCGGGCTACATGACCCAGCCATCGCAGCCTTCCCTGCCGGAGCTCACCGATGGGACCTTGCCCAGATCTTTCAAGGATTTGTGAGCTCCTCACACAATCCAGTCTGGTTAAACCCAGGATGGATCGTAGGCAGGCCAGCCTAAATGTTTCTAACCGGCGAAGATGTTCCATTAGGGGGGTCCAAGTTTCGCAAGCGTAGAGAAGGGAGGGAATGACCGTGGCCGAGAAGACCTGAAGCTTAGTGCGGAGCGACAGACCAGGTAGCTTCCACACAGCGTTACGCAACGGATGAAAAGATATTGCCGCTCGACTGATTCGGAGTGAGACCTCTGCTGTTAAACTGGAGCCGGTCATAAGCACACTGCCCAGGTATGGGAAACTCTCCACTCTCTCCACAACTGCCCCATCACCGATTGGGAGTTGTGGGGGTGGAGTGTCCGATGGTACAAAATACCCAGGCAGGTGCTTAGTTTTGGTGGGGCTGATGGTAAGGCCCCACCTCTTAGTGGCACGCTCCAGTCTCAGCAGCAGCGTCTCCAACTCCTCTTCTGACTGAGCAGCTATTACCAAATCATCAGCATACATAACGTGGTTGAGCAATAGGGAGCCATCCCTTGACCGCACCCGGCAAACCAACCCCCTACCTCCTCGCGGTGCCGGACGGGCAACTCTGTCGTGGACAGTGCTGTGGAGGGAGATCCAATTTTGATTGGCTCCTCCCCTCATGGCATATGTGTCCACCACAGGGGCTAAACGGGGGCTCTGGACGGGTGCGAGGCGCTGGTAACCCCTCCACCTTCAATTAATTACCACGAAACCACGAGACACACACACAGACGCACACACAGACACAGACATACACAGACACACACACACAGACAAGCGTACGCACCGCCGTCTCCACGCCGCTCTGGGTGATGCCCTCATCCGCGCCGGGCCTCCCGTCGTCCGCCTCCCCCGTCGCCTGCGCCGCCGAGTCGCTGCTGTCGGCCGTCACGGCCTCCGACGTTTCAGCCACGGGGCCTCTGCAGGCGCAGCCCCCGCCGCCATCGCCGGCGCCAAAGCGGCGCTCCGACGTTTCGGCCTCCGACCCGCCGGGGTCGTCCGCACCGGTGGCGGCACCGGCGCCGTCGCTGCTGCTGGGGACGGCCCCGTCGCTCTCGGCCATCGTGCGGAGAGAAAGAGAGGCGGGTGGGGGGGGGAGAAGAGAGAGGATAGAGTGGAGTGAGAGAGAAATAGGAGAGAGGAGAGAGAGGATAGAGGAGAGTGAGAGAGAAATAGGAGGGGAGAGAGGAGAGAGGGGAGAGAGGAGAGAGGGGAGAGAGGGGAGAGAGGATAGAGGAGAGTGAGAAAGAAATAGCAGAGAGGGGAGAGAGAGGAGAGAGAGGAGAGAGGGGAGAGAGGAGAGTGAGAGAGAAAAAGGAGGGGAGGGAGGAGAGTGAGAGAGAAAAAGGAGAGAGGGGAGAGAGGGGAGCGGCTCCCCCAGCGTTCTCCGGTCACGACCGGGACGGACGGACGGACGTGGGGGTGGACGCTGCTCCGGTGAAGCCTGCGGCACGGGAAGGGTGGGGGAGCGGTGGTGCAGCGGTTAGGCCGGCGGCAGTGGCTGGCGCGGCCGGCTTGGAGCGCCGAGCCGAGCTCGTGACCGGAGTTCCGATTCCCGGCTCGCGCGGCCACCAACGGGGACAGCGGTGACGATTAACTGAACCGGTCCCGGGCCTCCCCTAGGTCGACTCGGCCTCGAGTGGGGGAGACAAAGACGGCCGGGCGGGCGTGGTGACAGCCACCCGCCTCCCTCGTGTGCCACCGTGCCGGCCTGCACGGGTGCTGCTACTCGCCACTAACGAACGGGGATTCTTTGACTTTGGAGTGGTGGTGGGAATGAGCGACACGTTTTTAGTTTGACACCTCTTTCATTTGTATTGTTTCGAATAGAGGGTTTCACGACGATGGCAATCAGCGTGTTGAGCAGGGGCGGTCGAGACCTCCCTTTCCCAGGCGACAGACTACAGCACCGCACCACTATACACTACACTATATACTACTATACACTACTACACTAGACACTAATACAATAGCCACTACTACACTAGGCCTCGGCAAGGCAAGGTAATTTAGCGTTTTTTACTGGGTAAAAGGGTAAATGTGTTGATATGCCACGAGGTAAGGTAAAGGGTAGGGTAAAGGTAGCGCGGAAGAATTAGCCGGCAGGGTAAAGGTAGCGCGAAGTATTACCCGGTAAACGCCTTGTTGTTTACCGTAGCCTCCATTTAAAATTGGAATCATCGAAGGTCTTCGAGACTAGCTTTACTACCCGGCTTCGCCCGGGGACTTGGATTCACCACGCCCGGCCGCCTTTGTCTCCCCATTGGCGATGTTTACACACCACAACAGTTACTCGTTTGAGGCTGAGTCGACCTAGCGGAGGCCCAGGACCGGTTCAAATATTCGTCGCCGGCGGTGGCCGTGAGCGGGAATGGAACTCGGGTCGCCGGGTTCGTAGCGAAGCACGCTAACCACTACACCACCGCTCCCCCCACAACAACAACGGCCATTCACCACTAGGTGCCGGTGACGTCACCATGACGCTTGTGCCAGGCCTTGTGCACCTTGAGGCCACGTGAAGTGTCGAACGCCCGCTGGCAGAAGGTAACGGGGCAGACCCAGGTGCCACGGGTCGACTAACTGAGATGACTGAGATGACTGGCTGATGCACCACCTGTGCCCCCTACTGTGCCAACTTGCTGTGCTTTAGCCACCCGGCGCTCCGCTCGTTGTTCTGAGCATCGCTCCTCCGCCCTCCGTTGTTGTTGGAGGGCGACTGCCTCCAACTGCCCAGTAGCGTCCTTCACGAGCCTCCTCCACGGAGGCCGATCTCGACACCGCTGGTACCGGTCATCGGCAAGTCCACTCAGCTCCACGTCCTCCTGTACCACATCACTCCATCTCTTCTCTAGCCCGTGCCGCGCCCGTTTAGCCCCCTCGATCCGGCCGAACAAAAACTGTTTCGGCATGCGGTGGCTGGGCATGCGGGCTACATGACCCAGCCAACGCAGCCTTGCCTGCCGGAGGAGCTCACCGATGGGACCTTGCTCCCCCCACACACACACACGCGCGCGCGCGCGTCCATAGGTACACACACACGCGCTTGCTGCAGACACACGCAACTTTCAGGGTGCGTACGGCAGTAAACGACTCAAATAATAAAGCAATGCTACGCGAAGAACGCCTTGGACCTGCAACACATTTGTATGGCACTGGGGGGGATGCATGACGTCAGCAGGCACAATGCGTGACGATTCCGCATGCGGGTGACATCACAGATGTGACGTCACAGCTCACTTGCCGTGAAAAATATATCCATTATTGCACCCCCCGCCCCCCAAATGAAATACAAAAGTGCATTTTTATATTTTTTGCATGGTGTACCGTCTGGAAAGTACCCAAGTTTGTTGCATGTCGGGAAGTACGCTAAACATTTCGAATAGACACATTCACAAATTTCCATTTTATATAAAGCGCCTACCTAGCATTTACCTGTAAGAAACCTTCTTCATGTGTAGTAGTACCCCAGTAATTACCCTGTAATCGGGTAATTTGTAGGGGGCCGGACGCGGTGATCCGTGGCTATTCAACGTCGCTGTGAGGTTTCGTGCAAAAGGTCACGGAAACTTGGGTGGCTGCTGCTGCCATTCTCAAATTGTCTGGACAAGAAGTGGGATCAGTTTTGCTGAATACTGGCCCAGCTACCTTCATGAATTAAACCAACAGAGACTCGTAGAGATACGTGGAGACTTATTGTCTATGGGTCTCTGCTGTGTGATGAGTCTATGGGTCTCTGCTGTGTGATGAGTCTATGGGTCTCTGCTGTGTGATGAGTCTATGGGTCTCTGTGTGTGATGAGTCTATGGCTCTCTGCTGTGATGAGTCTATGGGTCTCTGCTGTGTGATGAGTCTATGGGTCTCTGCTGTGTGATGAGTCTATGGGTCTCTGCTGTGTGATGAGTCTATGGGTCTCTGCTGTGTGATGAGTCTATGGCTCTCCGCTGTGTGATGAGTCTATGGGTCTCTGCTGTGTGATGAGTCTATGGGTCTCTGCTGTGTGATGAGTCTATGGGTCTCTGCTGTGTGATGAGTCTATGGGTCTCTGCTGTGTGATGAGTCTATGGGTCTCTGCTGTGTGATGAGTCTATGGGTCTCTGCTGTGTGATGAGTCTATGGGTCTCTGCTGTGTGATGAGTCTATGGCTCTCCGCTGTGTGATGAGTCTATGGGTCTCTGTGTGATGAGTCTATGGGTCTCTGCTGTGTGATGAGTCTATGGGTCTCTGCTGTGTGATGAGTCTATGGGTCTCTGCTGTGTGATTAGTCTATGGGTCTCTGCTGTGTGATGAGTCTATGGCTCTCTGCTGAGTCTACAGGTAATTGTATGATTCTGACACAGCAGTGTAATCGCTGTTGCGCGGCTGAGCGTGTGTTGAAGCGCTTCATAGCTCATCGGATTTCTCCAATATAAATATTGATTCCGAAACCTGCATCGGCAGCCCGATGCAACTTCGGGGCGGCTGGCTCCAGTCAACAATCACGACTCGGCGATGAGACCCGAAGAAGGGTTTGTCAAACCGCCTTCTTGACTGACGATTTTCTTTTTAAGGTTGCCGATCTTAAAGTTTTGTTGTTTAAAAAATAAAAACATCAACAAATCGCTGAGGTAAAAAAAAATTAAAAGAAAACGGCGCGGCGCCATCTTTCTTTTTGGCGCCAAAACCGCGCCCCCCCTCCTCTCCCACCCCATCCCCTGCAGCTCAGGGCCCTCCCCTCCCCTCATCTCCTGTGAGCATCGGAAAACATCGGCTCCATCGCCCGCAAGCGCCCACAATTTTTCGCCATCGGCCGAATCCCTAGGGTCCCCCGCGCGTCGGAACGCGAAGATGTGGAGCAAGAAACATCGTTAAAAGGAGGCGGTAACGAGGTTGTGCGTGGGGGGTGACGCCTGGCCATCAACTGTACCCACGACGAGCCCGCCATCTTTTTTTTTCACGTCCCACCACCCCCCCGCCCTACCGCGGGTCCCCCGTTCCGTTCAGGCGCGACGCGGACACCAACAAAACGACCAGGCCCCTGAACGAGAATTATTTTTATTTAATAAAATATATTTATATTTTTTTAAAATTATACTCTCTTTGTCGGTCTCGCGCGCGAGGACTTACCCGGGTGGGGAGGTTTTTTTTTTGTTTGTTTGTTGCGGAAGAGTTTAAATTTATATTTCCAAAAAAAAATTCTGACAATGTTGTCGGGCCGATGGCGAACGAGAGACGAGGGGAGGGGGGGGGTGGGAGGCGAAGGGGGGGAGGGGGGGGATTTTTTTTAAGGCGCCCCCCGCCCCTCACGCCGGGCGCCGAGGACAGCCCCGGGGCGGGTCCTTCGCAGCGCCGCGTCCCATTGGCTACGGAAGCCGTCGTCGTCACGCGGTGGCCCCCCCAGGTGGGCGTGGTTGGAAGGCGGGACAGGGCCTGAGGGGGGCGGGCGAGACAGCAGCCAATGGCGAGGTGACGTTGGGCGGAACCCACGTGGTGCGGGGCCCCTCCCCCCACGCACCGCCACCCCCCCGCTCAACCAGGAAGTGGAGGTAACCATCCGGTTCCACGTGGTTAAATCAGCTGATGTGCTTCGTGGCAGATGTTGGGTGTTGGACCGAAGGATGGGGAATCCGATGAGCTATGAAGCGCTTCAGCACACGTTCGGCCCCGGCAACAGCGATTGCACTGCGGTGTCAGAAACATAAACTTACCCGTAGACTCATCACAGAGAACCATAGACTCGTCACAGAGAATCTTAGACTCACACAGAGACCCATAGACTCATCACAGAGAATCGTAGACTCACACTTAGACCCATAGACTCACATAGAGGCCCATCGACTCACACAGCGACCGGTAGACTCACAGAGACCCATAGACTCACACAGAGACCCATAGACTCATCACAGAACCGTAGACTCACACTTAGACCCATAGACTCACACAGATACCCATCAACTCATCACAGAGACCCATATATTCACACATAGACCCATAGACTCACACAGAGACCCATAGACTCACACAGAGACCCATAGACTCACAGAATCATAGACTCACACAGAGACCCATAGACTCACACAGAGGCCCATAGACTCACACCAAGACCCATAGACTCACACCGAGACCCATATACTCACACAGAGACCCATAGACTCACACAGAAGCCCAG